CTGGGTTGAGACAATTAGATGACTGTAGCTTTACAGTCAGACCTGAGGTCAGGCAGTGTCGGTCCCGGGCTTTGATCTCCTTCAATACTGTGCTGAGTCCTCCGGGTCTCCTGCCTCAGAGTCAACATGTCAACAGCCCCCAGGTGACTTGCTGGGATTTTCATTTAGATGGCACTGAATGTACAGATTGAGTTGGAAAGAGCTGAAGTCTTAACAATACTGCGTCTCCTTATGCATAAAATGGAGTATCTTTCCATTTATTTAGATGTTATTAGAGGCTTATGCAATTCACAATCAAGGGGCCTCAAACCGCCTCAAACTCAAAATATGCAAAGAATCTACCTCAAGTGGATGTATAAATATCATTCCCCGAGGGAGGTGCACACAGCCCTGCAGACCCCGCACCCGGGTCACCTGGGAAGACCCTGTTTAGATGGGTCAGGTGTCTGAGACGCTTTGAGAGCCCCTCACCTTTCCTGGGAAGGACGCTCTCAGAGGGGCTCCTGGGGCAGCTGCAGTTTGCAAATCGGAGAGAAACACCAGGGGCCGTGGGCGCACGTGTTACCATCAACGACTCGGCTACTAAAAGGCGCAGGCCTTGCATGATTATGTTCTCTGCCCATCCCTCTAGAAACCGTCTCCATTATTACTTCTGACAGACGCCACAGGAGCCCTGGGAGGATCACAGAGATGACAGCATCCAGGGGCTTTGCGGGGGAGCGTGCGGCACAGATACAGGGATTAGGATTATTTCACTGTCCATCTGGAAGCCGCAGACGAGCTCTCTCCAAACCACACAGGCGTCTGGGTCTGGTGTTCTGCTCTCTGCATTTCGTGACCAAGCGTCCCACAGGGCAACACCTGCCGGGCACCACCGGCCGCCAGCCAGCAGCAGTGGCTGAGCAGACATCGGAGGAGGGGCGGAAACTGGGCACTGTCCGAAGATGATAAGGAAAGGAGGACCTGGTCCCAGAGACGGTCGTGTGTTAGAAACGGCAGGTGGAGACACATGGAGAGATGTCCGGAGTGTGAGACTCTAAGGGCGTACCAGCACCCTCAGCTGCACGGGGACAGGCTCCCCGGGGTGGAGGTCCTAACAGCAGTTCCCAGGAAGAGAGAGCTTTTGTTTGAGCAGGGTCTCGGGGTGGCCCACCCTCAGCACCTACACACTCTATCATCTCTGCCCGTGTCTTAAGGAGTCTCCATCACGCAGCTGCTGAAGCCAAAGGTGGGGAGGCAATCGTGCCACCTTCCTTCCTCTCCCTCACCTCCCACACCAGACCCACCACCACAGCCTGTAAATTACAGGAGGGGCAGAGGCCAGGGATGCAGCTAAACACTGTAGAGTGCAGAAGACGGCCCCACAACCAAGAATCCTCGTGCCGAGGGGGAGAACCCTGCTCCAGCCCCACCCCATGGTCTCTCACCTGGATTCCACGACCACCTTTCACCCCACTGCTTCCTCTCTCAACCTCCCTCATCCATCCTGCAGACAGCAGCCGAGACGACCCCTGGCAGAGCCACCTCTGCTCTGACCCAGCTCTCTCCAGCGGCTTCCACAACCTTGAGCTGGCCCCCAGGGCTCTGCCCAATACGCCCACACCTGCCTCTCAGTTCTCTCCCAGTCCCACCTTGCTCACTGCCCACTGTCCAGCCACAACCACTGATCCTGCAATTCCTGAACTCAACACACGGCCTCCTGCCTCTACCTGGAATTCCCCCACCTCATGCTTTCTTTACCTGACTCCTCCTGGGTACCTCCTTTGAACCCCAAACTATGCCCAATCTCCGACGCCTCTTGTGCATACGATGGGGGGCAAGAGTGCAGGTCCGCGCCTCCTCGTGGGCCCAGCTCACCTGGGGCTACCTGGCCAGGGCTTATTTTTCTTAATATTTGGGTATTTTCACTTCTCTGACAAGATCTCACATTACATTTAAAACTGAGGGCGGGCACACAAAAAACGCCCGCTTTGCTGAAGGGCACTGATGAGACTTCAGACCCGTGGGAATCCCGAACCGCAGCGCGGGAGACGGAAACATGGGGCCCAGGAGGCAGGTGCCGAGCTGGAGCCGCCGCTGCTGCGAGCGAGGCCCCTTGTTAGGTCAAAGTTACCTGCGCAAACCGATTCCCTCACCTGCAAGGAGGTCATTGTGTTATTTCTGATTATCCCTAATACACTCGGACAGTTTTTCCTGCAGACAAAAAAAAAATTCTAAGTGTTCAAATTTGTGAGAGGCCGTGTCCCAGACGACAGCTTAGAAGTCATTGAAAAGCAAGGAAAACTGTTAAGGAAGAATTCTGGATAAGACACAAACAAGTGGGGATAAATACGTATAATTCATTTCAAGTCGGGATACCGTTTCCAAGGAAATGAAAGCCGTGCTTCCTGGTGGGCAAACTCGCTTCCGACACAGCTCCTCCCAGGAAGGACCAGGCGGAGCTGGCACACGAGGTGGTCAGGACGGGACCCCAGGGACCGGCCCGGAAGGAAGCCAAACCCTCGCCATCTGCGTGCCAACCGGCCCCTGGGGGGCCTCAAATTCAATTAATCTTCACCCCAGTCCCATCCGAATGCCTGCGGGAAACGTCGCCGAGTGCCACGGGCGACACAGAAGACTAACAATATTATCACAGTGAACAGCAGAAACAGCTGAAGGAATCTAAAGAATGGTAAAGAACAGCATTTTTTTCTTTTTAAACATGTCTTTATTGATTTCAGAGAGAGGAAGGGAGAGGGAGAGAGAGAGAGAAACATCAGTGATGAGAGTCATGGATCGGCCGCCTCCTGCACGCCCCCGGCTGGGGATCGAGCCCGCAGCCCGGGAATGTGCCCTGACCCGGAATTGAACCCCGATCTCCTGGATCCTAGGTTGACGCTCAACCACTGAGCCTCGCTGGCCAGGCAAGAACAGTATTTTTCAAACATGAATTGAGAAGCATGAGCCATTCAGGAAATGAACTTAGTGCCTGTCAACCAGCATTTTTTTTTAGTGAAATACATTCGTTCAGATTAGACCGTAGGATACTTAGGATAGGATGAGAAATGCCCAGTGCATCACATGGGACAGAGGTAAAAACATACACGCAAGACGCACACACACACACACGCAACACACATACGTACACAAATACACCCCCCCAATAAAGCCAAGGAGGCAGGGAGCACGCTGACCTCCAAGCCTCAAATGAGGGCACACAGGCCACCTCAAAAATCAAAATGACCAACAAGGGCCAGCCTCTGGGAAGCCACCCTCAACCCCTAAGCAATGCCAGTCTTTCATTTTTCTCTCTAAGTTATATGACTCACAACAGTATTTCCATTTCAACAGAGCAAAACTTAAAGTTAAAACAACACAGAAACCCAGGGACCTGTGATGGGAACCCGTCATCTCAGATGTTGAGAGAACTCGGACCGTGAAAGAAGAAAATCAGAATGAGCGGCAAGGAGGCGACATTTTAGGTAAAACTCGGTCACCTGCGCTACAGACAGAAGGCTCCAGCGTGGCATCAACGCCACGGAAGCCACTCGCGTCTCACAGTGAACCGCCCAGGAGGGGGTCTGACGTGAGGGGATGGACGTGGGCAGACACAAGCCACGCCTCACCATATTTAACATGAGAATATATTTAGAAATCCAAAATTAGTTCTGGGCTAAAAACTTCCCCGTAATTTCTATCTATTCTTACACCTCCCACGTCATTTCTTAAAATGCCATGGGATTTGGTAGTGAAGGTACTGAGCACACATTGCTAATTTTAACCTTGGAACAAACAATAAGGTGGCTTTGGGCAATAAACAGCACGTTTCCAAACGAGCTAACCTAAAATTTTCATATGCTTTGGACCACAGGGCTTTGTCCATAGATCCCCAGTTTGTACAACAAACCCACATAAAGATCAGGAAATTACACTGAAGTATAAAACAGCTCTGCGCCACCTCAGAGATGAAAGGGACGTCGGGACTTTATTCATGTTTAGTGACACTGGCTCCCCGGGCACGGCCACCGTGAGACACATCTGAGCGNAAATTACACTGAAGTATAAAACAGCTCTGCGCCACCTCAGAGATGAAAGGGACGTCGGGACTTTATTCATGTTTAGTGACTGACACTGGCTCCCCGGGCACGGCCACCGTGAGACACATCTGAGCATCTCAGTTCCAGATGAAATGGTGAGCTGGGAAATCACTTTCCCTAGACATTTGAAAGACACACGCCACAGAGATGTTTTCTGAAACTGCACATTAACAGAACATTAAAAAGAGGGGGGTGAGAACAGAGGCGGCGACCGTGTGCAGGTGAGTGGACGCTTCGAGGTAATCACCTGGAAGCTTCCTCCCCTTTGAAGGAATCCACACGGGTAGCAAACCACTAATGCACAGCTCCCTCCGCAATGAGGCAGCCCCACAGAAATCCCCAGAGAGCGTGCGGGGCCTGGGGCTGCCCCATGGGCCTCCCGGCCCCTCCACACCAGAAGGGTCCCGAAGAACACTCAGACCCCAGGGGAGATGAAGGCATCTTTCTTCCCAAGGCGAGAACAGGTAACCCCAGGTGGCGAGGACAGTAGGAACGTGGGAACTCAGGATCCCTCGCTCTCCTGCGCAGACGTAAGGTGCACTCAAAGATGAAAACAGGACGCCACTGGCTGGGTGTAGCTGAGGTCTGACTGATGCTGGCGCACCAACAAGCCCTGCCTCCCCCATCTGCTCAGACACCGAGATACCCGACCCCATTACACTCATCAGCTTCCCCGTATTTACATAACGTGAATTCAGAAGCTCTCCTTGCCTAGGAGCACAGGCCCAGCAACATCAGGACTTGAGTCCTGCAGAGCAAGGAAAGGGCCACCCCCTCACACAGGGAGCATGGGCATGTGCACCATAAAAGCCCACCCCGGCCTTCCGCCCACACTCGGGCATCTCAGGACGTGCAGCCCCGCTTCTCCCAGCCGCAGGGGAGCCCTGCAGCTGACATGTAGCTGTGGCGTGAATGAGGGCCTACCTTCACCCGGACGGTCTGGTCGGACGCGCTGCTCATCATGACGCTGATGGACCGGAACAGCTGCAGCAGGGACTCCACGAAGTCGGCCTCGCCCTTGTTCTCATAGAGTCTGCAAAGAAAACAAACTCCGTGGGGCCGCAGCACCTCGCACTGCGCTCCCGCGCCTCCCTCCACTAAAGGCGCTGCTTGGGTGACACGTTAGAATGTGAGCAATGCTCTCAAGATCCCTGAACCACAGGGGGCGGCTTGGAAATCAGATTTCTCTGGACCACCGGCTACAGAGATGCCTTCACCTCAAAGGAGCTGGATTTTAATCACACTAGGTATTGTTTTTCTCATTGTAACATAGCACAGTTTACAAATCTGAAAAACACATAAACGTCTGGAAGGGGAGGAAAGGAGGTAAAGAGAGAGGAAGGGCGAGGGGGAGGATGGATGGAGAAACCCAGCTTTAATTCTACCCCACAGAAGTTACATCTCTAATATTTTGGTATATTTTCTGCCAGGTTTGTAAACCTGTAATATCACATAAGTGAGTCACAAAGACACTTAGTTGCCTAAATTTAACATAACCTTATAACCACTTGAAAATGATATCATAATCGTAAACTCGAAATTATCTGAGAAGCGACACTAAACAAATTCATTCATCGTAGAATTGGTGCTGACGGGAAAACTTTCAAGAGGTGGAGCAGATTCAATAAACAGATGAGAGAGTTGTCCATGGGCTACATGTACGCAAACATGTATTGCTAACTGTATATAAGTTTCACCTACAAATTATTAGCGGTTACTTCAAGTTGCTATGTTGCTAAGAAGCAACGCACTTGCATTTTAAAATGTTGCAACTCAGACTCTTCGTTAACAAAGATTAGTTTTCTGCCTAATTAAAAGTGTACCACACCCGAAAACTTGCGTACGAAGGAAAACTGTATAAACTAAACGATAATTAATTACCCTAGAGGTATTTATCTTATTTTTAAATGAGCTCCACTGTAAAGGAACTGTCTAAAGTAGGAAACTGCTACCTAGTGCACCTGCTCTGTGAAGAGTTTTCGAATAGGTGCTGGTTTCAATGGCGCACCACACAATTAATCAAAATCACGGAGTCGTGAGCCTCCGCTGGCAGGTGACCGGGGCAGTGCTTGGCGGGCTGATGCAAAAGCTTTTGAGGCTTCAAGCAGGCAGGCAGTCTGCCCCTCAGGATATTTGCTAATTCCTACAACCATACGGGATAGGAGACTAAAACCGAAATGAAAACCTCTGTAAATCAGAGTGGAGTTTTTATCAGTCTCCAGGGATAATGAATAGAGTCTGGAAAATGCCAGTGCGAGGGGCCCGATGACAGAGCTGACTCTATGCGGCAAACCCCGGAGGACCAGGGGCAAACCACTGCGGACAGGGGCTGAGCAAGGCCACCGCAGCCGTGACCCAGCACAGCCTCTGTGGAGCGAGGGCTCAGCCCCACGTTCTCTGCGCGGAAGGGGAAGGAGGATTCATCTCTGAAAGGAGGTCACATCGCCTGGAGCTTTTACGCTTTTACATACACACGGCCCTGCATTCAAACAAAAATGACTAAGGCACAGCAAGAGACCAGACCGATGGCTAATCAAAGAAGAAAAAAAACCGAGAGAGACATCCACAGATGATCACGATATTGCAGTTAGCTAACAAGAGTGTCAAATAAATATAATTAGTATATTTTAAAATAAAGAGAAAAAGGAGGAGGCACAGAAAGATGGGAATTTGGAAAGTAGATGGAGAGGAGAGGTTAGATGGAAAATTTTAGTAGAGAAAAAAAATCAAATGAAAATTTTAAAACTAAAAAATATAATATATAAAAGACTTCTGTATATAGGTTACACTTAGACTAGACAGAGCAAAAGGCGGAATTACTGAAATGGAGACAGTCAACAGGAAAATAAACAAGCACAGAATGGAAAATGCGGAGTGTTGGAGATACGTAGGGTGCAGGGAAGAGATGAAACATACAAGTAATTAGAGTTTAAGAAGAAAGTGAGAGATGCCGTGGAGCACAGGCAGTGTGGGAGTGGAGAATGGGCTGAGGAGACTGAGGCGAATGGCTGAGTAACGAGCAGCCAGCTCACCCTCCCTAACCAGACACCGAAGGGCACGTGGTGTAAACCACCTCAGGCAGGGAGACAGATGACAAACCACCACCAACAAAACAAAAAATATTAGAGCCAGACTAAACCAAGATGGAGGTGAACCTAGCCAGAGCAAGACCCAAAATGAGCTCATTAAACCATTGTTATAATGAAATTTGACCCTAAAGTAGAAGGGGGTGCGGAGGGGGAGGAAGGCCATGCCGCATCCACGGACCCTATCAGGAACAGGAACCCTCCGAGCCAGAAGGCAGAGTCAGAATTTGGTGCCACAAAGCTTGGGGACAACACCTCCCCACCCCCCTTGAAAACACGTAAATCCCAGAACTGACTGGCAGTGCCCACGCACTCAGGGGTGGACTTCTCGCTTCTTCCACGGTGAAGCCCGTGCACCAGCCTGAGTAAAACGAGCTTTATGCTCTCACTCTGATCCATCCCTGAAGTCTTTCCTGGGCCAATCAGGAACCTGGAGGTGGCCTGATAGGAGGAGGTCTCAGATCGTACCTGGGCAGGGCCAGGCCCCGCATGGAAGGAGTCTGGTGACAGCAGGGTAAGTGAAAAGCAAAGTATTCATGTGCAAGCCATAGTTAAACTGCCAGTAACCACAGAGGAGAAAAACTCGAACAGCCGCCGAGAGAAAGGAAGATGCCACTCCCTTCAGAGACACAACAGTGCGCCTGAGGGCTGACTTAACCGACTCGCAGCATCTTTCTGTAACGAAAGGGGAGTTGTCCTCTTGGTTTATCAGATGAAGCAAAGAGTCACCTGTCTGGCCCACCTAGAGGCAGGAGGAGGCCAGGGGATGTAAGTGCACAAAATTGACAGATAAAACCCAGTCACCATTCCCGGCTCTACTTAAGGTTGTAAGAATTCATTAAACGAGGAATGACAAGATCTCTGTCTACAGCCCACATCTAACTTCCGTTCCCCAGGAAATGATGGCAAAATGACAGATCGGCGACAACTTGCTCCTGATCAATAACCAATTATGCACGAAGCTAAGAGTGGGCAACAGGCCAACGCT